GTACTCCTAAGTGTAATAAATCAAACTCACATGTATTAATACCGAATAGTTTCCCTATTGTAAGAAATGATTCAAATATATAAAACTATGTGGTAATCATGATTCCCCATTATATTGCTTTGAAGCCTTATAGTGTTTTCACTCGTTAATTGGAATGGTTTTATTCTGGGTTGTTTGATTTTATTGTCTGTGATAGCATGAACATCTATTTTGAAGAAAACAAGACATCTTAATAGCTAGTGCTGATCTAATATCATCCTGTTTTGAAGTCCCATCAAGCTGTTGTTCTTCTGTCTCCATTGGTTTTATCATATTGTATCTTATTGGGTTTTATTATATGTGATAGTATAAACAAAAATTTTTATAGGCAAAGAAATAATATAGAAACCATTGTTCATTTTCTTTTAGCTGGTTCTAAATGCCCTGTAATACTTTCATTCTATTGAATGGTTTCACACTGTCTTGATATGTTTGATGCTGAAGTTATACTCAAATATTTCAAGGCAAGAGACACTATGGTAACTACTATTATGTCAGGTTATGTGGCAGTGAAACACAGTGTCGCTTAAATTGTTCTGTTCTCACCCGTGTTGTTGTGTTGTTATGTCCTCTTTTATCTCAATCTCCCCTTTTTTTAAATTATTTTTTTAATTAAGGGAAAAAATAAATTAAAAAATAGCAGGATATAGTATAGTAACTTTTTTGTTTTCTTATTAACCTGATTTGAACCCCTGTATTGCTCTCACCATCTTATATTGACTGATTTTAATCTATTCTGTTTTGTTTGATAGTATCAAGTTTGAGGGTATAGGCAACTACTTTGAAGGCAATAAGATTTACTATGATGCCCATTCTGGTTTGACTAGTATCTTCTTTTGAAGTCCTGTAAGGTCTCCAATGTTTAAGTTTTATTGGTTTTGTTCTGTACTGTTTTGCTCAGTTTTAGTATACCTGATGATATAGGCAACACTTTTTCAGGTAGCAAGAGGCATAATGGTAACCATTGTTGATCACCTGGTATTCTGTTTTCACATCATGTACTATGTCCATCCTTTTGTTTTGACTGAGTCCGTTTCGTTTTGTCACATTTGGTTTTATTCTCTTCAAAAAAACTCATAAGAACTGTGGGAGTAATAAAACCCAAAATGTGTAATTGTTTTTGTAAAAAATAGAGGAAAAGAAAGTGCTCTAAAGGATATAACTGCGTGTATATTTAAGTGTGTAAGATAGATAACCATATTACTGAGTTTTGTTGGATCATTGAACAGAACTGTTTGCAGTCTCACTATTTGAATGTCCACTTTGTATGTTTTAATTTTGTAACTTGAACAACTATTTCTAAGATGACAATATGTAATCTGTTAACTAGTGCTTTCTTACTGCTTATTTTTTTGAAATTCCGTATTGCTTGTACCCTTTTACGGTTTTGCTTTTTTTTATTTCTCTTTAAACATCAATTAAAAAAGACTCATGCATGTGTAGAACCTATAAATATTTTATGAGAACTGATCTTTTGACACATGATGAAATGAACAAATACTTTGAAGAAAAAGACACGCTAAAGTACCAAGTGCTGATCCTGGAGTGTCATAACGGGTATCAAACCAGCAATAGTATTATTCTTTGTTCAGAGTGATATTAGCCTGCTTGGGTTTGTTCAATCTCAACATAATTGAGGAGATGGATAACTGCATGTATGTTTCAGTGTATAGGATTGATAACCATATTTCTAAGTTTTTGTTGGATAGTTGAACAGAACTGGTTGCAGTGTCACTGTGTGAATCCCCACTTTATATGCTCCACTTTAGTATCTTGAATAACTATTTGTAAGAGGATGATCTGCAATCATCAACTAGTGATTTCTTACTGTTTATCTTTTTCTTTGAAAGTATGTGTGATTTCTACCCCTTTTCTGTTTTGTTTTGTCTTTCTTTAAATAAATTTTTTTAAAAAGTCACTACTGTACCCAGTGCTGATCCCAGAGTGTCATGATGTGAAATCCAGCAATACTGTTATTTTTTGTTCAGAATGATTTTAGCCTGCTTTAGTTTGTTCAATCTCAACATAAATGAAGCTATGGATAACTGCATGTATGCTTAAGTGTATAGGATTGATAACCATATTTCTAAGTTTTTGTTGGATAGTTGAACAGAACTGGTTGCAGTGTCACTGTGTGAATCCCCACTTTATATGCTCCACTTTAGCATCTTGAATAACTATTTGTAAGAGGATGATCTGCAATCATCAACTAGTGATTTCTTACTGTTTATCTTTTTCTTTGAAAGTATGTGTGATTTCTACCCCTTTTCTGTTTTGTTTTGTCTTTCTTTAAATAAATTTTTTTAAAAAGTCACTACTGTACCCAGTGCTGATCCCAGAGTGCCATGATGTGAAATCCAGCAATACTGTTTTTTTTGTTCAGAATGATTTTAGCCTGCTTTAGTTTGTTCAATCTCAACATAAATGAAGCTATGGATAACTGCATGTATGCTTAAGTGTATAGGATTGATAACCATATTGCTAAGTTTTTGTTGGATAGTTGAGCAGAACTGTTTGCAGTCTCGCTGTCTGAATTCCCACTTTACATGTCTCACTTTTGTAGCTTGAACAACTCTTTGTAAGAGGACAGTATGCAAACGTCAACTAGTGGTTTCTTACTGTTTATTTTTTCTTCGAACGTATGTATTATTTCTATCCATTTTCTGTTTTGTTTAGTCTTTCTTGAAATAAAATTTAAAAAAGAAGACTGGCTGGGACTGGCCAGGACATAAGCCAGGGTCAAGTCAGGGAAGCAGTGCCTCTGCACTGCGGGCCAAGGAGGGGAGCCCCGCCAACGGTGTCCAACATTCCCACGTGTCACGGACCGGATGACAGGACAGAGGACTCCCGGTGAGCAGCCACGGTAACACAGGGTGCCCAGAGCCTCCTCAGAGCTGCCTGGGGTTGCGAGGGAGGTCTCTAGCTGGGGTGGAGGTAGGGTTGCAAAATGGCAACCCATGCAGGCCGGTCCCCAGCAGCCAGTCTTCCAGAGGAAGGAATCTGTGCCCTCATATTGCCTGTCTGCCCACCAACCCGTGGCCCCAGAGGGACCGAAGATCAAGGTGAGGTCAGACAGCTTCTCTCAAGGCAGGTTAAAGATGGAACAGTCAGAGCAGAGATCACACACAGGACACTCTTTGCGGACAAAGCAGCTCCTCTGGCTCCACGTGGCCTGGGACACAGGATCCAAGACCCCGAGAGACGCCAAGAGAAGCATCACCCCAAAAGGCAGAGCAGGGGAGGGAAGCCGGGGAGGGTGCTGCGGAGCCAAGCTCACAGTGCAGAGGAGACTGGGCAGGGCTGGAGGCAGCTCCTAGAGGTCAGGGCGGCCAGGCAGCCACAGCGCTGTCAGGTGGAATCCTGAACAGGCCTGCAGGGCCCAGGGTGCGGGGTGCCTGCCGAGGGGAGGGGCGTCTTGTGCCGAAGTGGGGGCACAGCGTGGAGGGAGGGAGGGTTTTCAGGACAAGAAGGAGACAGTGAGCCCCTCCACCCTGCCTGCCTTGAGCCGGGCCTGGACTGTCCCCTCAGCGCTGGGCGCCTGCCTACCAGGGGGGGAGGGGAGGAGTGGGCGCCGCGGGCCGGCGGTCCCCCAACGGCTAAGGGGGAGGGCGACCCCCCACAGCTTCCGGCAGCGGGGGAGGGGCGACTCCGGGAAGGTTCCAGAAGGCCCCGCCCATCCCCCAGGACAGTTCAGCAAGGAGGACAGAGCGCCACCTCCGGGGAGGTTCCAAAGAGCCAATGGCTACTCCCGCGGGCAAGTTCCACAAGGTAGGTCAGGGAGGCCTGGCAGAAGGGCGCCACAGGGTGGAGACAGGCGAGCCCCACGGAAGGTTCCAGAAGGTGGGGCTGGTGGGGCGCTCCTAGAGCCTAGTGCCAGGACGGTGCTGCCGGCGCCCTCCGCGGTGCATTAAGCCAGAGATCTAAACATAAGGGCACAAAATGTGCAGGATCAACGAGAGAATACAGGTAGTCAATCTTCATGACTGTGGTTGCGGCAAAGTAATTGAACAACAGAAAATGATTTGCAACTCATGAAACTTCCCAACAACTGTGCTTCGAAATACAGTCTGAAAAAGGCGAAAGTCAGCCCACATACTAAGTGTGCAAATTGTTTGTCTGAGAAAAGACTTATGTTTTCAGTGCACAAAGTACTCTTACACTTCATTCATAAAAAGAGAACCCAATTTTAAAAGTAGCAGGTGATTACAATAAAATAAACAGAAAAACAATAGCACATACAAAGATGTCCAATGTATGCTTATGTATCAATAAGCATAAGGGAAATGCACATCAAAGCAATCAGGAGGGGCCACTTCACACCCACCTGAGTGGCTAGATTCAGAGTGAGATAGCAACTACTGGAAAACACTTACCCTCCTGCTGGTGAGAAACCATTGCCTACCCACTTTGCAAAAAGCAGGCTAAAGATTTCTGGTCCCAAATCAATTCACACCAAATAAACAAGGGATCCCTCCCCGTGATAGCTCCTGTGGCTTCCATGAAGGAAGGTGTCACTGGATGGAAAGCTGTAGTTCCTGCAGAACTGTCTGAGCCCACAGGGTACTGGTCAGGCCCAAGGAACTGTGCCAGCTTCCTTCAGCTTGATCTGAGAATTGGAAAGGACAGAACCTTAGGTGATCCCAGGTGGCTCTGGTCTGAGGGAGCTGGGACCTCACTATTGAGCAGAATGGAGGCTAGCACCATGGCCATTTTGCCACTTGTCATTAAAATAACCTCTGAACCCTAAAATAGCAAGATAATTTTGACACATTTGCACAATGAATATGCAACCCATGATGTCTGAAAGAGAAAAGGCAGTTTGTGTAATGAAAGCACACAGTGACTTGAGTGCGCAGTAAAGGAAAGAAGAGAAATGCCAGTGTCACTGGTCGAGTACATGGAAGAAAACAATTGTTCATGAATGGTTTCAACAATGACTTTATTCCACACTTACAGTGCAACATACATGGTTAAGCTGGGAGACTGGAAGTGTCTCAAGGGGACAATGGAATGTAAAACTGGTCTGAGGAAAGGGAAGGCTATCAGACTCCTCCAAGGAGGGTTTCTCTCATCAGTGTATTGGTGGCAACAATGGAAGCAAAAATCAGGAAAAATGCTGATGCCATCAAACGTACACTCTCACTTATTACCTCATCCTCCAATACAGCGTCCTCTATGTCCCTCTCTACATTAGTAGGTCCTGCATCATTGCATCCCATGCCATTACAACAATGAGTAAAATAGAAACTATTCGTTTTCAACTTTTGTCTTGGAGTTTCAGGTGGCTGTAGGGCTGTATATACAAATGTGCAGTTCCAAGTACAGTTCTTGAAAACCAGTAGCTCACGAGGGCTCACACCTAAAAGGGACACATGAAAGTTACTGATTCCACATCTCCTACTTGTGAACACCATAGCACATTCAACCAAAACTATTTCCATGCGCACATTCTGCATTTCCAAATGTTCCAAAAGTACATCACTAGAACTGTTGACTGAGGAGAATGTCCAGATCCACAAGATGGCGTGACTGCTCCAAGAGCCACTTTTAAAGATATTTCTATCCATACAGCCATATTTAACCTGCCACTAGCCATTCCAAAGTGGTGTTTTGATACCTTGTTACAAAGCTGTGTGTAGTTCACCATACTGTCTTAAGAACTCTGGAGCCCTAGACACTACAGGAAGACTAGAAATTAACTTGTATTTTGGTTCCAGACATGAGCAATCCCACAGATGTTGCATAGGAGTGACCATAGTAATGTGCCCTTTTGCTGCTTTCCTGCAGCTGGTAAAACCCTTTGAGGTTAACTACCTTCCTTATCCCTCTGTATCAGTCACTCTGCCATCACTGAAACAACACAGCCAATGCCTGCAACTTAAAGCAGGAGAATGTTATTTTGGCTCAGATTCAGTGACTGTATTCTGCGGTTGGTTGGCTGTAAGGCAGCAGAAATGGTACAGTAGGAGGACATGGCAGCAGAAACCTGCTTCACCCATGGCCACCCGGAACACAGAGAAAGGAGGAGCGGGGAAAAATAATATGACCTTCCAGATGCCCTTGGTGACTCACCTCCCATCACATCCTACCTCCCATCAAGCCTAAACCTCCCACCAGCACATCTGACCACAGACTCAACAAAGGGTTAATCCACTGATGAGCGCAGCATCCCCACAATCCAATCACCTATCAAGCCCCATTTCTGAATACACAAGACTTTGTGGGGAACATTTGAGTTCTAAATCACAACACCCTCCACCTGGTATTCCAAGCTCTTGCACCAACATGCAAATGCTGATGGGCCCTTAACCCCAAACTCCCCAGCACAGACTTAATGTCCCACTCCACAACTCATGTGTTCACTTTCATTAGAGGGATCACCTATTGGCCTTAGTCACTCAGAGTCAACTGAGTGAGTTCCACCTGAGACATCCTTCAGGAAACCCCTACTGTGGCCTTCATTGCTATTCCTCTTTCCCTGGTGGTTGACAGGGTGTTTATACAGATACTTTCATCTGAAACACCCTAGTACTAGTCGGTTAACTCTTATGTTAACTATAACCTGGAGCCAAACAGGAATGCACATTGTTGTAAAAATGTCTCCCAGGTTCATGCAAGGGCAGTAATTCCGTAATGACAACTGGAAAACCACAGAAGTCCACCATCACTGGCTCCCTGCTGGGACACAGCAGAATCACACCTTTCTTCAGGTGTACCAAATCAAAATGATACCCGCAGGGTGATGGCACTGGGTGCTATGAGGAAGGGGCAATCACAGGGTTCTTTTTTCCTTTTTGCAACAAAACTTGGGAAACAGAATGCCATGGGAAACTGCAAAAGCACACATGGTGGATAACCAAAGGTAGGAGAAGGATTCTCCTCAGGGCCCCAGATAAGGCCTACCCCTGTGCACCAATTGTTCTGCTTGCCATGCCAAGAGTGCTAGATGGGCCACTGGGCCTCTGATCATGAATGTCAAGATTCAAGGAAGTCTTTGGGCTCATCAGAGAGGGCCTCTAGAGAGAAGAACATCTCTCTCAAGTAGTAATGACTTCAGAGTAGGTAGCAAGTGAACTTTGGAACTCAGGCTCTGTCCTGCCGTGTCACTTGGTCATGTCATCTTTGTGTGACAGGCATTGCTCTGAGATGTTCAGCTACTCCCATTGCCAAGACCTAGCCTGTTGAATGCTCCCTCCAGGAACACCTAACTAAAAGTCAAATGGGAAACAAGAAATCACTTAGATTTTCCATTGTGTCTATACACCTGACTATGAAGATACGAGGCCCGAGTCTAGCAATATTCCCACCCAGTGGAGACAGCAAAGATGTGTAGATCCACCTCTTGCCTTGCCAATGAAGTCCTACAAGTCGATTATCAAGAGACCTCACCAACTGTTGGTGAACATGCTCAGTTTGCAACATACCAAAAGGAGTGGTAATGTTGAACACAGAGAGAAAAATAGACTGACCCTGGTCCCTAAAATTGCTCAGGTAGAGTGACTTTCCCACAATGAGTCAAAAGGACAAAGAGATACTTACGAATGGAGACTGTCATACACCGTCTAAACGCATAAACACATCGTCTCTTAACATGACAGGCGAAGGTATTTATGAGTTCACAATCAAAGCATTCCACATTAAAGGTCCCTGAGAGAAGAAAACAGGCACTGGGTTTCTTCTTCAGTGTACCTTTAACCAATCACCAGCCCCCTCCGTTCTCCTCTACCAGCTGCCTTTTTCCTTCTATCCCCAACCACACCCCCAAGCCTGCTCTGCTCAGTCCTCAGCACATTTCTAGTTACAATATGACCAGTTCCTCAAAGCAAAATGAGATCCAAACGGGAACTCTACTCACTCTCAAGACTGGTTTGGGGATGCCCCAGGAAGCCACATGTGGGACTGCTGAGCTCTCCACCCAAGGATCACTCCTCCAAGGATGGCTGGCCACTCCTGAGAGCCTGGCATTCTTCTAGATCTCTCAGGACTCTACCCTCTTCTCTGTCTCTGACCAGGAAGTGCCATCTCCAGACTCCCCCTCAGGTCTCTTGATCTGCAGCTCTTCTGGTGAAACCCTTCCCCTTCTTGTCCCTTTGACTGCTAGTGAACACACTCCAACCTGACCTTGAGGTCCCTGATTACAGTGACAATACATACTCCATCTGGATAGGGTGATCCAATTTCTACCCAAGACATCCAGTGACCCTGATCAACTCCAGGTGAATTCAAATTCAAAGACAGTGAGAGTCTTGGGATGATACTCACATTGAGACTGAGCCTCAGTGACATTGGCTTCCATCCCTGGGAGCTCCATGACAAGGAGTAAGGCAAAGGGAAGCATCAGTCCTACAGGAACAGCCTAGAGCAAAGAGATCCACAGCTATTCAGAGAGGGCATGGCCTTTCTGCCTAGCTTCATTCCCCAAGCAACAAGCACAGGAAGTCTTCCCTCCCCCCTCTTCCCTACCTCTGGAGCCCTCCTCCACTGCAAAATGGAACCTATCATGGGAATCAACAAATGTTCTGCCACAGAAAAAAATATGGTAATTTAAAATTCACTTGAATGTATTAACAGACAACTTGGTGCTGTAAAGGAGAAAATTAGAAAACACAAAATCCCAGAAAGAAGAAAATAAAAAAGAATGATTACAATCTGGAAAAGAAGAGGCAGGAGGGCTGTCGCTCCCTGCCCAGCTAGTGCAAGATACCAACACTGGCCTCAAAAATCAACAGGGCGAAGGCTCTCAGAGAGAAAGAAAAAAAAGTAAGAAGTGAACATCTGAGAGGCAGCCACAGGAAAACCAAAGTGAACCCTTCTATAGCAGCATCGAAAGTGAAAGTCATCATCTCAAGCAAACAATGAAAAAGAGGGAACCAAAAGAAGAGCAACAGCTGCAAATGAGGGAAGAAAGACGGAATTCACATGGGAGCTCGGCGTTCTCCAGGAGTGAACATACACTTGAAGAGTAAAGGCCAAGTGAGAACATGTGACCAAAACTGCTGACCAGAAAATGTTCATAGCAGAAATGCTACAAGATCATAGGGACGATGGAAGGGTGCATTTACAACATCTCCAGACAGCAGGACTAGGACAAGCAGTACCCGAAGCACAGGAGGCTGTAAAATGGAAGGCAGGTGGTGTGAGGTCACCTGTAGACTTCTAGGCCAATTTTTTTTGTGGAACTTGCACCAAGGTAAGAGGATGGCGGTTTCAGAGGAGAAAGCAAATTAGGAAGCTTGAGGGTAACTTTTCTCACTCACTATAGGACTTTACATCAGATATCATTCATCAAAGGGAAACAAACTAGAAAGGAGAACATCCTCTGGGCCATAATTGAAGAGACATTTTCAAATAATAAGGGTCCTTTGGAAGATTCTCAACAGAAATGACACCTATTTTAGATGGAGTGGTGATAAAAATGGAGAGACTCAAAGGTGGTCTAAGCAGTCATAAAGGGACCGGAAAGGAAAAGGAGGGACCCTTGGGCATAATTCAAACAGAGAGCAGAGGTGGGAAATGCAGGGTTTCCACTTCCCATTTGAAGACAGTCAGGAATTGATCCACATAAAGTACCAGGAAGCAACAGGGAGACGATGTCCAGGCAGCTGCCAACACCCCCAAGCTTGGGAGATCGAGGACCAAGGTGGCGTGAGGTTGGCCCTGGGTAGTGAGGAAGCTCATGTGTGTGGTGGAGCCGGTACCCAGGATCGGGGTGGGGGGTGGGGGGGAGAGGAGGAGGAAGGGAGGGGGAGGGGGAGGAGGGGGAGGGGAAGGGGGAGGGGGAGGAGGAGGAGGAGGAGGAGGAGGAGGAGGAGAGGAAGAAGAAGAAGAAGAAGAAGAAGAAGAAGAAGAAGAAGAAGAAGAAGAAGAAGAAGAAGAAGAAGAAGAAGAAGAAGAAGAAGAAGAAGAAGAAGAAGAAGAAGAAGAAGAAGAAGAAGAGCGACGTCCAGGGGCCCTACGAATACAGAACAGCAGCACAAAAGGACCCGGGCCACAGGGTTAAGGTGAGAGGCTCAAGGATCCCCGGAAAATGGAAACCTTGGCAGCATCTCAGGTAGAAGCGGGCGTTCTGGATGACACTTCACCAGGACGCAAGGGACTGGTTTTGGGGAACACAGAGGTTGATAGATTGGAGCACGCGGGCTGGCCACAATAAGGAGGTGAGGAGGGTTTCTAGAATCCCGGGGTTCACAGAATGAAGAAAAGTCCATGGAGAGGAGGCTGCAGGATGAAAGCACCCCCAGACGCAGGTGGGGGGCCAAGAATCCAAACAGACCAGGGTGAGCAGTCCTACCACCCCAACGCCCGGAACCCCGACCGCACAGGGCAAAGCCAGCACCGCGGAGAGTGGCAGCGCCGTCCCGGCACTAGGCTCTAGGAGCGCCCCACCAGCCCCACCTTCTGGAACCTTCCGTGGGGCTCGCCTGTCTCCACCCTGTGGCGCCCTTCTGCCAGGCCTCCCTGACCTACCTTGTGGAACTTGCCCGCGGGAGTAGCCATTGGCTCTTTGGAACCTCCCCGGAGGTGGCGCTCTGTCCTCCTTGCTGAACTGTCCTGGGGGATGGGCGGGGCCTTCTGGAACCTTCCCGGAGTCGCCCCTCCCCCGCTGCCGGAAGCTGTGGGGGGTCGCCCTCCCCCTTAGCCGTTGGGGGACCGCCGGCCCGCGGCGCCCACTCCTCCCCTCCCCCCCTGGTAGGCAGGCGCCCAGCGCTGAGGGGACAGTCCAGGCCCGGCTCAAGGCAGGCAGGGTGGAGGGGCTCACTGTCTCCTTCTTGTCCTGAAAACCCTCCCTCCCTCCACGCTGTGCCCCCACTTCGGCACAAGACGCCCCTCCCCTCGGCAGGCACCCCGCACCCTGGGCCCTGCAGGCCTGTTCAGGATTCCACCTGACAGCGCTGTGGCTGCCTGGCCGCCCTGACCTCTAGGAGCTGCCTCCAGCCCTGCCCAGTCTCCTCTGCACTGTGAGCTTGGCTCCGCAGCACCCTCCCCGGCTTCCCTCCCCTGCTCTGCCTTTTGGGGTGATGCTTCTCTTGGCGTCTCTCGGGGTCTTGGATCCTGTGTCCCAGGCCACGTGGAGCCAGAGGAGCTGCTTTGTCCGCAAAGAGTGTCCTGTGTGTGATCTCTGCTCTGACTGTTCCATCTTTAACCTGCCTTGAGAGAAGCTGTCTGACCTCACCTTGATCTTCGGTCCCTCTGGGGCCACGGGTTGGTGGGCAGACAGGCAATATGAGGGCACAGATTCCTTCCTCTGGAAGACTGGCTGCTGGGGACCGGCCTGCATGGGTTGCCATTTTGCAACCCTACCTCCACCCCAGCTAGAGACCTCCCTCGCAACCCCAGGCAGCTCTGAGGAGGCTCTGGGCACCCTGTGTTACCGTGGCTGCTCACCGGGAGTCCTCTGTCCTGTCATCCGGTCCGTGACACGTGGGAATGTTGGACACCGTTGGCGGGGCTCCCCTCCTTGGCCCGCAGTGCAGAGGCACTGCTTCCCTGACTTGACCCTGGCTTATGTCCTGGCCAGTCCCAGCCAGTCTTCTTTTTTAAATTTTATTTCAAGAAAGACTAAACAAAACAGAAAATGGATAGAAATAATACATACGTTCGAAGAAAAAATAAACAGTAAGAAACCACTAGTTGACGTTTGCATACTGTCCTCTTACAAAGAGTTGTTCAAGCTACAAAAGTGAGACATGTAAAGTGGGAATTCAGACAGCGAGACTGCAAACAGTTCTGCTCAACTATCCAACAAAAACTTAGCAATATGGTTATCAATCCTATACACTTAAGCATACATGCAGTTATCCATAGCTTCATTTATGTTGAGATTGAACAAACTAAAGCAGGCTAAAATCATTCTGAACAAAAAAAACAGTATTGCTGGATTTCACATCATGGCACTCTGGGATCAGCACTGGGTACAGTAGTGACTTTTTAAAAAAATTTATTTAAAGAAAGACAAAACAAAACAGAAAAGGGGTAGAAATCACACATACTTTCAAAGAAAAAGATAAACAGTAAGAAATCACTAGTTGATGATTGCAGATCATCCTCTTACAAATAGTTATTCAAGATGCTAAAGTGGAGCATATAAAGTGGGGATTCACACAGTGACACTGCAACCAGTTCTGTTCAACTATCCAACAAAAACTTAGAAATATGGTTATCAATCCTATACACTTAAGCATACATGCAGTTATCCATAGCTTCATTTATGTTGAGATTGAACAAACTAAAGCAGGCTAAAATCATTCTGAACAAAAAATAACAGTATTGCTGGATTTCACATCATGACACTCTGGGATCAGCACTGGGTACAGTAGTGACTTTTTAAAAAAATTTATTTAAAGAAAGACAAAACAAAACAGAAAAGGGGTAGAAATCACACATACTTTCAAAGAAAAAGATAAACAGTAAGAAATCACTAGTTGATGATTGCAGATCATCCTCTTACAAATAGTTATTCAAGATACTAAAGTGGAGCATATAAAGTGGGGATTCACACAGTGACACTGCAACCAGTTCTGTTCAACTATCCAACAAAAACTTAGAAATATGGTTATCAATCCTATACACTGAAACATACATGCAGTTATCCATCTCCTCAATTATGTTGAGATTGAACAAACCCAAGCAGGCTAATATCACTCTGAACAAAGAATAATACTATTGCTGGTTTGATACCCGTTATGACACTCCAGGATCAGCACTTGGTACTTTAGCGTGTCTTTTTCTTCAAAGTATTTGTTCATTTCATCATGTGTCAAAAGATCAGTTCTCATAAAATATTTATAGGTTCTACACATGCATGAGTCTTTTTTAATTGATGTTTAAAGAGAAATAAAAAAAAGCAAAACCGTAAAAGGGTACAAGCAATACGGAATTTCAAAAAAATAAGCAGTAAGAAAGCACTAGTTAACAGATTACATATTGTCATCTTAGAAATAGTTGTTCAAGTTACAAAATTAAAACATACAAAGTGGACATTCAAATAGTGAGACTGCAAACAGTTCTGTTCAATGATCCAACAAAACTCAGTAATATGGTTATCTATCTTACACACTTAAATATACACGCAGTTATATCCTTTAGAGCACTTTCTTTTCCTCTATTTTTTACAAAAACAATTACACATTTTGGGTTTTATTACTCCCACAGTTCTTATGAGTTTTTTTGAAGAGAATAAAACCAAATGTGACAAAACGAAACGGACTCAGTCAAAACAAAAGGATGGACATAGTACATGATGTGAAAACAGAATACCAGGTGATCAACAATGGTTACCATTATGCCTCTTGCTACCTGAAAAAGTGTTGCCTATATCATCAGGTATACTAAAACTGAGCAAAACAGTACAGAACAAAACCAATAAAACTTAAACATTGGAGACCTTACAGGACTTCAAAAGAAGATACTAGTCAAACCAGAATGGGCATCATAGTAAATCTTATTGCCTTCAAAGTAGTTGCCTATACCCTCAAACTTGATACTATCAAACAAAACAGAATAGATTAAAATCAGTCAATATAAGATGGTGAGAGCAATACAGGGGTTCAAATCAGGTTAATAAGAAAACAAAAAAGTTACTATACTATATCCTGCTATTTTTTAATTTATTTTTTCCCTTAATTAAAAAAATAATTTAAAAAAAGGGGAGATTGAGATAAAAGAGGACATAACAACACAACAACACGGGTGAGAACAGAACAATTTAAGCGACACTGTGTTTCACTGCCACATAACCTGACATAATAGTAGTTACCATAGTGTCTCTTGCCTTGAAATATTTGAGTATAACTTCAGCATCAAACATATCAAGACAGTGTGAAACCATTCAATAGAATGAAAGTATTACAGGGCATTTAGAACCAGCTAAAAGAAAATGAACAATGGTTTCTATATTATTTCTTTGCCTATAAAAATTTTTGTTTATACTATCACATATAATAAAACCCAATAAGATACAATATGATAAAACCAATGGAGACAGAAGAACAACAGCTTGATGGGACTTCAAAACAGGATGATATTAGATCAGCACTAGCTATTAAGATGTCTTGTTTTCTTCAAAATAGATGTTCATGCTATCACAGACAATAAAATCAAACAACCCAGAATAAAACCATTCCAATTAACGAGTGAAAACACTATAAGGCTTCAAAGCAATATAATGGGGAATCATGATTACCACATAGTTTTATATATTTGAATCATTTCTTACAATAGGGAAACTATTCGGTATTAATACATGTGAGTTTGATTTATTACACTTAGGAGTACGGTCTCAAGCTGCATCTATTTATTTATAAGTATCTCAATGAGATCCTTCTTTATAGCTGAGTAGTACTCCATGGTATAAAAATACCACAACTTCTTTGTCCATTCCTCAGTTAATGGACACTTAGGTAGTTTCCAAGATCTGGCAATTACAAATTGTGCCGCTATGAACATGGGTGCACATATATCACTGTGGTATGATGCTTTCAGTTCTTCTGGGAATATGCATAGAAGTAGAATAGCTAGAACAAATGGGACTTCCAATCCCAGCTTTTTGAGAAATCCCGAGGCTGACCTCCAAAATGGTTGCACCAGTCTACACTCCCTCCAACAGTGCAGGAGAGTTGCTTTTGCCCCACAGCCTCTCCAGCATTTGTTGTTGGTAGTTTTCTTGATCCTGGCCATTCTTTCAGGAGTGAGATGAAACCTTGAAGGCATAGGAGTAGGTAGAGCAATCCTGAACAGGAATCAAACCACATGGGAAATACTTCCCAGAATCAGTAACTGGGATCATGTCTTATTAAAAAGTTTATGCACGTAAAAAAAAAAAATCTCCAGCATAGTGAAAAGAAAACCCACAAAGTGGGAAAAAATCTTAGTGAACTGTTCCTCCGACAAAGGACTTCTGTCTAAAACATATAAAGAATTAAAAAAAATCAGACCCCCAAAATTCAAAGATCCAATCCAAAAATGGGCATCTGAGATGAATACACAATTCTCAGATGAAGAAATACAAATGGCAAATAAACACATGAAAAAATGTTCATCGTCATTAGTCATTAGAGAAATGCAAATTAAATCATGCATGAGTCTTAACATGTATTTCTATCCTTTCTATATTAGAGGGAGAAACAAAACAAAGCAAGACAAAACAAAACATATTCCTATAAATGCATGAAACGCAAAAGATATATAAGACTGTTATACAAGGAGTTCTACCGTAGTGCCTGTGTTGTCTCTTGTTATCATCAATAGAATTGGCTATATCGTCAGGCATAGTATAACTGAATATATCGGTATATAACTATTAATAAAAACACTACTTTGTATATAGTATAAAACTTCAAAAACAGGCAGTAGTCAAACCAGATTGTGTGTCATAGTAAATCTTGTCATCTGTGTAGTTCTTATACTCACAGAATTGATATTATCAATCATATCAGTTTTGAATAAACTCTGTTGGTACAAAACAGCAATCAAACAAACTAGATTTAACCACTATCAGTCATGATAAAACAGTATAAGTTACACAGGGCTCCAGATTAAGTTAACAGGAAATTAAAGCTGATTAGTGTGCTATATCCTGATGTTTCTGGG